GGAGAGGAGATAATGTTCCCATTTATCTCTGAGAGAAACATCTTGAGGAAGATTCTAATTGGCCTAGATGAGGGCAAATGAACTACAAAGGAACCAATCACCTGCTTTGCTTGACCTGGGACAGATACCTCATCCCTGGGGCCAGAAAGATAGGTGGGATGTCATCATTTCTCAGTTTTGGGAGAAAAAGGTCTAATATTTTTGCCAGATGGAAGGGAATAGGACATGGAGATATGAAAACTATAGCTTGCTGCTACTGTAAATTCCACAATTATCACCCCCTGCCTTGTGCCTTATGATCATGCAGTAAGCTGACCTGTGAGATCATTTTCCCTATCAGTAGCCTTGATATATATGATTGAGAAGCAAACTGTAAAATAATACAGAAGTAGTCTGAATATAGGAAATTAACTGGACTAGTAATGACCAAGATAGCTGTATGAAAATATATTTTAAAATTCCCACAAACTCACCCAAAAGTTCAAAGTGGGAGCTGGAAATGAAAAGACAGTTTTGACAAGAGCAAGTTTTTTTCCAAGCTAAACAAAAAAGATTACAGACTTTTAGAAACTACATTTTTAAAGAAAAAAGAAAAAACAAATAAAGAAAATGAGGCCTATTAAAATTAAGAGATTTATTTAGGGTAACTTAGCCAGTTAATGGCAGGATTAAAATGAGAACACATTGTATATTCCAAGTGTGGTCTTTTAAATCTATGATACAACCTGTATATACGTAGGAAATAGAACACTTGTAATTTGTTAATCTCTAAATATTTATGAAGTTGAAGTAAATATATTCATTGTTCCAATTATTCTTAAAGAGAAAAATGCCCAAAGACATAATTGGACGGATATGTATACACGAAATACACATGGAGATATCTTCAAATATAATATGTGCATGTCTTCATTCCTTCCCTCTGCTCTTTTTAAAAATGCCCCTTTAAAAATTTCCCACTCACCATCTGTTAGGTAAATTTCCTAAAACACAGTAAATGTGGAGGCAGGGATTGTTATAGAGACTATTCCAAATGGCAATGACACCTATACTTATGAAATTATAAAAAGTGTAGGTTAAAGTTGTTTTTTTAACAAATTTCACCACTGTAGTAATACCACACCACCTATGTGCTCAGCTCTACAGGATTTCATAAGATGGAGAGAGAAAAAAGGAAAAAAAAATCTAGGTATTTATGTATAAAATGTTATCCCAAAAGTTTGATATTACATTCAAGCTTCAATTAACAGAAGGAAAACATTGATACATTCACTAAAGTATTTCATTTATGGTACAAGGTCCACAGACTTAGATTTGCATTATTTTCCAACAAGGGTAGAGTTGACCACTTTTTCCATCTACTTCCTTTGGGAGAAAAAAAAAAAAAACATCCTCCTGAATCAGATGCCATTCAATTCCAAATCTACAGCTTAGACTATGTCACTACACATGACATATTATTCATTTAGAGTCAGGATGTAGCAAGAGTAATTTATACTCTTGGAGTGTTTGCTCTCAAGTCAATAACTGAGAAGCCTTGAATAAAAATGTTCCCATTACTTTCTGCTATAATATATCTTACTTACTGCCCATAAAACAGTGGTCAGAGAAGATTTATCTAATGGTTACCATATTATATAACCTCTCCACTTTAAGCCATCCCACCTTTGTGATGATTTAAAAAAAATACATTACTTATAGTCAATATTAATTTATATTTAATCTTTCTTAGCATTAGGAGAGTATTATTTTGTACAAGCTCGGAACAAATCTCCAGAAATTCCTCCCTGATGTTTCTTTGAGGCTGAAAATACATTGCAGGGCAGTTGCAGTGATTTAATTCTAGTTGGCAGATCCCTGGCCACACACTAATTTCATTAGCCTCAAATTTCTGGATTGATTTGAAGACCCACTGGATATGATTCCTGTCCTCAGACATGTCATTTACTAACCGACTCAGTGTGTAAAGAGAGGAGAGGAAGAGGACTTGCTAAGCTCATATCTTCAATCTGGTATACCAGCATGCCCATGAAAATTCAAAGTCATAGACACTATTTATATCTCAGTAGTCATTCTTGCCCAGGTCCAAATTTTCAGGGAAGAACTTCATTCCTGGCTTTGCTGGTGGCAGCAGCATTTGTTACATCTATTACCATCTCATTTCTCCCTCTTTCCCTGCAGTGCTCAGCATCCCCATTTAAGTCCCTAAGTATTCCTTCTCCTAGCCTACAGGCTTAATTTACTACAAATGTATATCTCAAGTGATCCGTTTGGCATGATCCCTACAGCAACCTGCCGGGACCAAAGGAAAAAAGAAAACTCACTGGAAAGCTAGGAATTCAATCATTTGGAGGAGTTTCTTTTATATAGGACAATCTTAATTGAACTGAACCTTGGAATCCCAGAGAAGATTCACTATGTCCTTTTTTTCTCCCTCTAAGAGTGCCTTTGAACAATAGGTATGTGTACCATTATTCTCCATACTCATTTTGCCGGCTTATGGAAACTGGAAAAGTGGGGACTGGAATTACATGGCAGGAGCTTCTAAGATCACATGCCAAAAGGGCTACTGGAAGAGACTGTTGGTATACGAAATGCAGATTCTAACACTAGTAGTGATTAACCAGGACACAAACCAACCAACTGTTTTATCTAGCTTGCATGCATGGTAAGCTACAAGTTGGTGCATTCCTCAGACTACCAGCCTCTTCTCAGTAAATGCAGGTGAAAACTGGAGGCTCTTTTTTCCTCAGCTCTTCAATCCAGCATGAATAGCTGCAATTTGCAAATTAGAGGAAAATGACTGTGTTTTCTTTGAATGGTTTTAGTCCCAAGCCAGAATGCTAACGCTAGCATTGGGTTCCTTTCTACTCAGTTCAGGGAATGGGGAAATTAGTGTAAGGTCAGCACTCCCCCTCCTTGTTCCCTGCTAGTTGCTTCAGGTTCACACAACAGGAGGAATCAGCTCCCCCTGGAATCTTTTTTCAGCAAACACAGTCCCTCAGCCTCATCTGCTATCCCTTTCTTGACTTTAACATTTCACTCTTTTTTTAGGCAGAGACAGACTAATCTGCAGTACTGCCCATGGTGAGTAAAGAAACAGGCAGCAAAATAATTTTAAAATTCTAAACAAAACATTTTGTGCCTTTAACCCCAGGGGCTAACAGGGAAAACACTGTAGCTTCCCCCAGCCCCAGTGGTTCTCAGGTAATGTCTCTGACCTTACCCTCTCCCACTGCACTGCTACCTCAACTTGTCTAGCTTTAAGCTCAAAGATGAAGGAAGCACTCTGGGTTTCGGCTACAAATCAAGTTCTTCCTTAAAGCAAGGAACTCAGAGTGATGGCTAGCCCCAAGGCACTTTTGGGTTTGCAAACCTTTAAGGACCTCCATGATAGCACTCAGAAAGTGTCAGGGATGCTCAGAGGATCAGAGGGGCCATGCAAGTGGCAGCCTAGGATGAGCACTCCTCTCTCCTGAATGCAAACTTCACACTCCTGGATGTGATGTGGTGACAGCCCTGGGTCTCACAGAGTCCCTTTCTGAAGCCCAACACCTTTCCGGAAAGCACTTGAGAAGGGCCGGTTCTCTACATATGAGGAGCATAAACTTGCCAGGATGAACGTGTACATCTGCGGAAGAGATTAGCTGGGTTTGGGTACCACCAGGCAGGGAGAGAGCCGCTAGGCTTTGGGAAAGGGTCATGTTAATACTGAGATGAACCAAGAACTTGGGAGTGAAGACAGAGGGGAAAAGGAGGCAAAGATTGAAAGAGAGGGGAAAAAAGCAGCAAAGGAGACAGAGAAAGAGAGAGCGATGCACATATAGGGAGACACAGAGGAGGGAACCTATAATCACAGAGATCCTGAAACTCAATTTCCAAACCCCAAAGCCACACATTCCTACCCAATGCAGATCGGGAGCCATGGGGCAGAGGCTGCGGGAGCAGGAGGCAAGAGAACACTGCGGTAGAACCCACCACTCAGCGCCCCGATCCGCCTTCCTCCCATTTTTTCTTAGTCGCCCTCCGGCACAGGAGCGGGAGGACCAGGGGGCCCTGCTCCACGCACCTCTCTGCCTCCCAACGGGCGCCTTCATGCCTTGCTCTGGGAATCCTCCTCCAAACAGAGAATTTGGCTTGGGGTCTGCATCGGGGAGGTGGTGGGTGAGGGGGGCGGAGGGAGGAGGCAGGGAGAGCTATTTGTTTAGCAGTTAGCATGAGCTCATCTCTGGGCTGAGGTCTGAAGTGGCAGGAGTGGAAAGCTGATCGCCCAGCTCCGGCCAGTGGCCGGATTGCAAATGCAATTTAGACGGTGCAAAAAATTGCCCGGAGCAAACCAACTGAGGGTCACGTCTGCGGGCAGCATCTCTCCACCTGAGGAAGGTCGCAGCACCTCAAGACCTGGGCTCTTGCGGAGGCTGGCTACAGGTCTGGAAATCAACCCAAGGGAGATGGGGACTTAATATCCACTTCTAGGTTAAGACCAAGCCCTCGATTTAAGAAGTGCCTCCTTAAGGTCGTCTCCAAATTTTCCAGGGGAGTGCAGGTTTGCAGGCTGGCTTGGGGGTGGTGGGAAGCTGGGGAGTTGGGAAATGCCCAGTTTCCAGGCATCTTCTCATCTTTCCTATTCCATTCCTCTTAACTAGCTCTCCTAGGAACCTGGCACTTTCACAAGCCTGTTTTCGGACCATATTTCACTCTAATGCAAACCCATTTAAATCATCGCCTTGTTTTTCGCAGATTGCTTCTTGTAAATGGGGCCATAAATCCAAGATGTCAAGCCGGATGGAGTGGAGCGTGGACAGGGGAGAGATGGAAGGGAAATAAACCAAGCAGGGAAGGTATCTCCTTGGGCGGGGTGGGAGGGATTCGGCAGGATCTCCAGGGTGGAAATGAGCTAAGGCTGACCTGACCCGAACCACGAGAGTCCAAGGGAGCTTTTAGGGTTAAGAGCGCAGGTAGCCACGGTGTGCTCCGCCCCAGAGGGAGCGCCCCCCTACCTGGAAGAGCCTCAGGATGTTGGCTACCATGATGGAGACCGAACTCCCCGAAGCCCCAATCACTCCAACTACTTTCTCCGGCTTGACGAAAACCGGGGGTTCACCGTTGGTGCAGCGCACGTCGGAGGTGTCCTTCTGGATGAGCGCCTGGACGAAAGTGAGCGACTGTTCGAGCGCGTAAGTGTCCCTGGAACAAGTGTCCAGGATCCGCGCGCCCAGCGTCACGTTGGGCAGTAGGTTGGGATCACTGTTGATCTGGTCCAGGGCGTAGAGCATCGCTTCCAGCCTGTGGATCCCATTCTCCCTCTTGATGTCACCGCAGGGCACTCCGCTGGGACCCTTGGCGTGCACGGGGAACAGCCCCCCAAGGGTGACATCCCCCTCGATCCGGATTGAGTGCGGGGCGTACATCTCCTGGCCGCGCGCCGCCGCCGCCGCCAGCGCACACAGTAGCACCTCCAGCACGCAGCAGGGGAACTTCATCAAAGTCAGGACGCGGAGCAGCTTCCTCAGCTGGACCATGCTGCTCCGGCTGCTGCGGTGGCGGCGGCGGTGATGGAGGGGAAGGTGGTGGGCTCACCGAGGTCTGAGCCCCTCTGGGCGAGCTCCTCCGGGAAAGCCCAGGGGATCCTCCAGGCACGAAGGGTGGGGGAATCCGGGGAGGGGCGACTGGAGAGGGTGAGGGGTCCTGAGGCGCCTGCCAGCCTGGGGCGCCTCGCTCTCTCTGGTTCGCCGGCCGGGCGCGCAGCGCTCGCGCTCACCAGCGTGCAGCTCGCTCTCTCCAACAGCCCAGCACTGGGGAGAGGGCAGGGATTGCTATCGCTTTAAATGGTCGTTCGGCTCCCTCTCCTCCTCCTCCCACTCCCTCCCTCCCTCGATGGCTCTGCTTCTCTCCCCACCCTTCCCAGCGCCAGCCCTCCCCACTGGTTTGCATCATCACGCAGGGAGGGGCTGCGTGCTGAGGTAAGGGGGGGGAATGGGTGGGCGGCTGGGGAATGGGGGGAGGTTTCCTCGGAATGGGAGTTTCGTGGTTCCCAGGGAATCTAGGGATTGCGAGCTGGGCTCTCGCCCCCAACTCACTGTGGAAGCCTCTTGCCTGCCTGCACCCACACCCACGTTCTGGGCATGGGTGTCATCAGCCACCGGATAGGGCGAGGACATCGGGCTGACTGCTTCCAAACCCTAGATCCGGAGCCTAGGCTCTTAGCTTTGGGAGAACCTGAGGGAGAGGCAGAGAAGCCAGTGAGGGAGGGGCGCAGGAAGACCCTAGCTAGGCTCTACTCCTGAGCTGCCTGTGCTAGTTTTTGCTAAGAAAGCCGCACATACACACAAGAGCCTGATTCATGACTTAAACACGCTTTACCCAAAGGGGTCTCCAGTGCCAGGCGCTGAGCTTGGCTACAAGGAAACAGAAGCCAAGAGGAGACACCAGGCATGGGAATGCATCCTTGGTCTTCCGTGCAGAGCTCCATGAACTGATGCGCTTCCCCAGCACTTCTGTGTCGGAAACCTTGGACGCATCCCTTCTCTTTTCTTCTTTGCAGAGATGGAACAACTGAGAACTCCACAGAGCATATTTTCTTCTCTAGTACTGACAGATGTAAGACTCCCTCCTGTTTCTAGAAATGTATCTGGTGCACCTGGTGACAGTTTTTGCCTGCAAGGAACTGCAGGAAAGAGATGATGGCAGGAACAACAAAGAGGGGGCAGGCAGAAGTGTCCCCGTAGATTGGGAATGCCTTTCTCTTTCACTGGCTGGGGTTTAGGGACAATGTCAGGATGCCAGAACAGGCTGCAGTGCAATTGAGAAGCTCTTTATGAAAGGTGCCTCCTCCTGCAGGTCCAGATACATTTGGCCTATTAAAGCAACAAGTGGCTGTACTTCTAATACAAGGAGAGTGATTGTCTCTGTCCTTGGGGATGGGAGTGGACTTGAGGAAGTTAAACCAAATCTTGCTGAGGCTTTCTGTTGGAGTGCGGCAAAATCATATTATACAGACATTAGGGTGGAAAGAAAACGAGAAGCAAGACTATACTTTTTATTTCTGTTGATGATGTAATGAAGAAACCTATCATTGTAGGGAGGAAAAAAAAAAGTGAAAAGGCACGTAGTTGGTTGTCTCTGCCACCAAATAGTTGTGTGCTCTCAGCACTTCTGTTCCTCTGTCTGGGTTTTAGTTTCCCCATCTGGAAAATGATGAGATTGAATTGGATGCTCTCCAAGTTATCTTTTAACTCTCAAATCATCTGTTAAAATAGGTCATGTCCCTTTGGCCATGGTGCTCTTTTTAGGCCAATATTTTCTATTGTAGTATGTGTAGACCAGTTTTTGTATATCCAAAGAACACGATGAAGATTTCTTGGTATAGAATGATTTTTTTTCTTATTCAGTATCTATTCTTTTTTCCTGTCAGGGACATCCCATCAATTTCTTTTTGGATGTGTCCCTCTTGCTTGTTTAAATGTTTATGGTTTCAGGAGAATTGATCCCACTCCCTGTAATCAAGTCTTGGCTGATCAGAACATCAGATCCTTCTGGCTGTAGTGAAGTTCCAGGATGGGCAGTAAGTCCAATCAGAGCCATTCAGGGATGATCCCTGGACTTTTGCTGGGGCAGCCAGGATGGAGGCATAGGGGTATCATGTGGGCAATCTCTGTTTAAGTCAGATAAAAAAGGGGCCCCTTCTACAAAATACTTTGTTTCTTTTTTGGAAAATTGTTGTGCTATTCTGATTTTGTCAAAACAAGATATTTTGTGTCACCTTCCAGAAAACAGTGCTGTAATTAATATGCAAAGCTACTCTGTGTACAATGTGCCTATGAATCACCTTCAGACTCAATGCCTTGCTACGTAAATGCACAGGTTGATTTACCATATGCCATGATGGTCCCTGCTCCTTCTTGCATGTCGTGGAACTGTGAGAAGATAAGCCCGAAGCTGTGCCAGAGGATTCCACAAGAACAGGGAGATATTTGAACCCCAAACTAAGAGAGAGAGAGATACATAGAGATAGAGATAGACAAAAAATGGGAGAGAGATTGAGGCTTAATTAAAACATTTGCATTCCTTGATCCAGGCATGCTTTAAGAATTGCCTCTGGACTTTTAAAATTATATAGCACTTCCTTTCTGTTTGAAGCCAAAAGGATCCTCTTCTAATTCACCTGTTCTAATACCCAAGATCAAAAAGGTGAGATGGCTGAACAGATATTCTATTAGGGCAGCATCAACTCATTTGGAAGAAGATACAAATAAAGCAATAGAGAGGCATACTTGGGAACACATGTATTAGGATCCTAGTATTTAAGCATTAGTACCTAGGGCTGTCTTTGACAGATACTATTACATCCTTATTTCATTTTTAATTCCAGCCTATTTATTACAAACTCGGTGACAAAAATATTTGGAGAATTGGAGTAACAAGTAATGTCACTTGGTTTTTCACCTGCACATGTCTCACTTCATGATCTGTGCTTCCGTTTTCATTTCCCATCCAATGATTGCTCAATAAATATTTCTTGGCTGACTGTTGAATGCTGCCTTATTCTGCCTTCTCTCTTTGCTCTGCTCCTTCTCCCCAAACATCTGGCAGCGATCATTATCTTTCCTTTATTACCATCATCTGAGTGCATGTCTTATTTCCCTTGCCAAGTTGTAAGATCCTTGAGGGTAAGGGCTGGGTATTATTTATCTTTTTATCGGGACCATGTTTCAAATGATGTTTTGTGCCTAAGAAGTACTCATGTGTTGAATGATTCAGAACTAGCTTTGCCATTCTCTACTGCCTTTATTTGACAGTGACCAAAACTTAAAGTGGGAAGAGCAGGAATGCTGACCGATAAATCACTTCCCTCTTAGTTCCTATAGACAGTTTCTAGAACTTAAAGATAATTAGTAGATTTTGAAGAAATTTTGTTTTTTAAAAAACGTGCAGGGTTAAAATATTCTAACCTTAAAAATCTTGATTAACTCTCAGGTAAAGTTTTGATTGGTCAAATTTCCTGAGTCCAATGCTCACTGAGGGTTCAACAACTGTGGCCATGCCCATAGGCTGGTTCAAAGAGCTCAGAAGCATAGAACTATTTTCTAGCCAGGTACCACCACCACTTAAGCTACATGGAAAGAGAACTCTGTTACCAGAGAAACTGGAAAATGATGCTAAGCTTGCAAAATCACTACATATCTCCTACATATAATTTATAATTTGTATTTATACCTTTTGCCATGGCATAGGGTCTGGCACTTGATAAGGAACACAGCATTTTTGTTTTGTTATGTTTTCTGAGATTATATGGATTGAAAATCTCTGTGTAAGATGGGTTTATGTAAAACAGGGCCAGTCATTGTTCTGATGTCAGATTTAATTGGAGGAGAATCCCTAGTTTTAGGCACAAAGATTGTAAGCCATGAAATGTGTTCACAGGCTTGGTTCTATTTAGTAATCAATCTGTCCTCACTCAGGCGTTAAGAAAAAATAACTAAACTTAAGGACTCAGTCTTACTTCATATTCTTTTATTTTCTTGATCATCTTACTTTTACTTATTTTCTTTGTTGTTCTGCTGCCTGAAGATGTTCTACTCTTCAACATTTTCTGCAGGAAATAATGTTTCCACTTCCAGTTCACGCTATATTTATTTAAATTCAATTTTTAACATACAAGTGTGTCTTCCTTAACCACTGCTACTTCTGCTATGGCTGCTAATGCGCTTTGGCTCCTCTATCCTTATATAATCTTCATCTGTAACTTTTCAAAACACAATCTCACATTTTATTATACTTTTGAATGGAAGTTCACTTTACCTTGGCGACAGAGACTATTCCATTTTCATCTGTTATACTTTTTTGCTTTATCTACTGTAATAGATACCTTCTGTCACTTAACTAGCATCCGTTCATCCATTTTCTGATCCCATTTGTTAAGAAACCTTGGTATTGTGCAGACAAATTCACTCCACAGATCCTGCAATGGGTGGATTGAAATTGATTCCGACTGGTAACCCTTTCTTTCTTTCTGGTAGTTCATTTAGGAATTCAAGCCAGCAACGTCTAGGGAAAGGCTTGCTGGGGCTTTCTGAAAGCACTTCTTGCCTCTGACAGTATTGTGTGTAGATATGAGACCCAGGATTATTGTAGTTATTTCACTAGTTGCATGAAGATGAGTTCCATACACAGAGCTTCCCTGCACCACTAGACCAAATCAACCCCAATGCTTCCTCTTTTGATTTCCAGTTACATAAGCCAAGAAATCTGCTCATTGCATAGGCAAGTATTAGTTGAGTTTTCTATAACTTGCAGCCAAATTCATGCTAGGTGTTACTAAAAGTATTTATATTATTAATAAATAGGATACAAATACATTTACATGAATGTTATACGTTTTATATGAATAATGAATATTACCAAAAGTTCACATTTTTTCATGTACTTACAGGGTACCAGGCATTATATATATCAATTCTCAAGATAACCTGATTTGATATATATCATTTTTATTATTGCTATTTTATAGATCAGAAAATGGAGGCCCAGGAAGGTGAAAAGTATAGTTTTATCAATATGCTGTCATTTTTTACTGCTTCTTTAGTTTATCTGCCTTACCATCTTGTTACCTTGAAGCTCTCATATCTTAAGTCCCAACTCCAGATGCTCTATGGGTGCTCTGTCTCATCAAACACACTCAATTCAGAGAGACCTCACTTGTTACATCCCTCAGATCTAGTTGCCCTTTGGATGCAGTGTCTGCGAAGCCACAAGGAGAGTCTCACCTAAGGACCAAAGGAAACCTCACTCCCCAGTTTTCTTTCTTCCCAGGTCTCAGTGATTCCACTCATTTCTTCTCTCAGTAC